AGGAAGCCATTACCCAGTCGAAGCTTGTGGATCGAAGCAAGCTTGCTCTTCTTCGACTTGTCAAAATCTACCAACCACTCCTTTCGATCAGTTATATGGTTCGAACCGCCTGAACCAGATTTTGAATACGACGTAGTTATCTGCAACTGCACACCCTTTTTATCTGCTTTGCCCTTTCGACATTTTCCTCTTCCTCCTTTCGAAGATTCAGAAGTTCCATCTTGGACCTGATGCTTGAAAGTCCAATATGATCCATGGAAACTATATGGGGCATTAAAAGTCCAATTGTACTTGTGAAAACTTGAGCATTTACAATATTGTGAGGGCAGGTAATTTCATAACTTCTAACTCTTGATACATATTTTATTTTATATTTCAATATGTTTATAAATTTATTTAATCACATGGTATAAACAGATCAATAGTGGGAAACTTATGGCACTTGTACACCAACTTTGCAAAGGTTAGCTATTCGTATTTTAAACCAAACTTGTAGTGCTTCGGGTTGTGAACGCAATTGGAGTATATTTGAGCATATTCATTCCAAAAAAAAGAAATAGATTGAAGCACCAAAAGCTTAATGATTTAGTGTTTGTTCGTTACAACTTGAGACTTCAAAATAGGTATTATTATGGTTATTTTTATCTGATCATTATATTTTTATATTTAAATACATATACTTAGATTTAATTCATGTGTGCTTAGGAAAATAAGAAATGGGAGTTATGATCCTATCAATATTGAAACAATTGCCGACCATTCTAGTTGGGTATTAGAGGATTCACCACCTCTCTTAACCAATGAAGAGTTGGAAGTATTGCGAAATGACCTTGCAAATATGACCATCCAACCAATTTCAAGTGATATTGGTATGTTCTAATATGAGCATAATATAGTTTGTGGTTGTGAATCAATTTAATGTCTCATATTTACCATCTCTAAAAAAAATTTGTTAATTATTTTTTAAAATATTGTTATAGATCAAATAGATTTAGATGAGGATGAAGATGGAAATATGGGTAATGCACAAGATACTATTGTTGATGCTGTGAATCAAGAAAAAAGCAACACCAGAGAAGATAAAGTTGGCGGAGAAGACAATGAAGTTGAAGATGAATATGAATATCAAGATTATGACAATTTGACTTCATGGACATAAAAAATTATGGATCGTTGAATATGGATTTTTGTGACTTATTATAATACTATAACTTATGAATTGTTAAATTTCTATTACTTCTTTGAATTTATAATTTGCTACATTAAGTTTCTATCACTTATTTTGATTGTTACTAATATTTTTGTTTATTCTAAATTATTTGAATTTATAATTTTCTATATTATTATAGTTACAAATTTTAGGTAATGAATATATTTTTTATAGAAACCGGGTCAAAAGTCATGCGGTCTGACCAGTGACCCACTGGTCCGACCAGTAACCCAATGACCCAGTAACTTTACCGAGTCGATCACCGGTCTGGATTTTAAAACATTGAGTCGTCTAATATTTACTTTGGCCTTTCAAAGAAAAAAACTCCATTAAACTTATTTAATTTTTTAAGGTAAAATATTTATTTTAGTCTCTTAATTATGCATTTAAATTTATATTGGTCTCTTAATTTATTTTCGTGTGACTTTATTCTTTTAATTTTTAAAACGTTTTATTTTAGTTATTTTTGTTTAATTAATAACAGAAAAACTTTAAAATTTATCCTAAAAAAAAAAATTAAAATGAAACATTTTAAAAATTAAAAGATAAAAAATAATACGAAAATAAATTACAGTAACAATCTAAATCTAGAGTTATAATTAAGGGATAAAATATATTTTTTTTGCCAATTTTTTATTACTTGTTTTGTTGTTTTCTGCGGCAATCATTCTCACAGGGCTCATCAAAGAAGTAGGGAAGAAGTTTCGAGGAAATAAACAATCAGACAAAAACCTCAACACTTGCCCATTAGCCATTGCTTCCATCTCCACTTTTTTCTTCACATACTCTCTCAATTTTTAATATTTATTTTTTCTACAGTACCTATTCAAAGAGTGCTCATAACATTTAGAATCATTGCAAGATTCATATGTAAAACTAAGAAAAGGATAAAAAAAACATAGCAAAGAAAGCAATCCCACTTTCTAATGCTGAGTTTATTCTCTCCTTTCCTTCATCAACTAGCACAACCAATTATTTCCGACAAGAATCATTAATTTTAATATTTAAACTCAACCACACCCTTCTTCAATTTTTTTCATCCATACATTGTTGAAGATAAACCAAAATAAATAAATAATTTTTTTTTCATTAGTAGAGATCATAGGAGAAAAATAAGATGAAAATAGATAAGGTGAGATTGGGGTTGATACTAGTGATTACAGTGATGATGTTAAACCTGTCTTGTTGTTCAGCTTGGTTTGGTAATAAACGCAAAAGTGGAAGAAACTCAATTTTACGAGGTGAATCCATGTCTTCAAGGACAAGTCTCATGTACCATGCTGCTGCTGGTTCCTCAATTGTGTTCCCTATTTATGGCAATGTTTATCCTGTTGGGTATGATATAATTCACTTCTTTCTATGTTTCTTATTCTCTTTCATGTTTATCATGTTTTTCAATTTTTGCAGATTCTATAATGTTACTCTCAACATAGGCCAACCACCAAGGCCTTATTTTCTTGATGTCGACACCGGTAGCGAACTCACATGGCTCCAATGTGATGCCCCTTGTTCTCAATGTTCCGAGGTAATAATATTAAGCTGAAAAATCTCGCAACGATTGTTCCGAATGCCATGTTGATTTCAATTTGCTGATGAAATTTTCAGACACCTCATCCACTTTACAAACCTAGCAATGACTTTGTGCCGTGCAAGGATCCACTCTGCGCATCCTTGCAACCCAGTGATGACTACACATGTGAAGATCCTAATCAATGTGACTATGAAATTAAGTATGCTGATCAATACTCAACCCTTGGTGTGCTTCTCAATGATGTCTACCTTCTAAACTTCACCAACGGAGTCCAACTAAAAGTTCGGTTGGCGCTCGGGTTTGTTTTTACTTTGCAAACTAATTCTGTTATGTATATCATTGTTTAGAAGTCGATAAGATTTATCTAATGCACCTAATTCTTTTATACAGATGTGGATATGATCAGATTTTTTCACCTTCTTCTTACCATCCCTTAGACGGAATACTTGGACTTGGAAGGGGAAAGGCTAGTTTGGTTTCACAGCTGAATAGTCAGGGCTTGGTGCGAAATGTGGTCGGGCATTGTTTAAGCTCGCGAGGAGGAGGATACATCTTCTTTGGAAATGCTTATGATTCTTCTCAGATGAGTTGGACTCCAATTTCGTCTATCCATTCGTTAGTACACCATTCTCATTTCACATGATCCACACTAATTATACTAGTGACTCATAATTTTATGATATCAGGGGAAAACATTACTCGGCAGGACCAGCTGAACTTGTTTTCGGAGGAAGGAAGACCGGTGTGGGAAATCTGGATATTATTTTTGATACCGGAAGTTCCTATACTTACTTCAACTCTCAGGCTTACCATGCATTGATTTCTTTGGTCGGTTAAAGTCATTTTTCACTAATACTTAGAAATTATGTAAACAAGTAACTAAGGTTTATATTATATAGTTCTATTTTCCAAATGCAGCTGAATAAGGAATTACATAGAAAGCCATTAAAAGTAGCACCTGATGACCAGACTTTACCAATGTGTTGGCATGGTAAAAAACCTTTCAGAAGCATAAATGAAGTGAAGAAATACTTCAAGCCACTAACACTTAGTTTCGGCAATGGTGGAAAAGTTAAATCTCACTTTGAGATCCCTCCTGAAGCTTATTTAATAATATCAGTGAGTTAAATAACTTTTCTACATTTTCTATGTTTCTAGACTGCTATAGTAAATCATAGCAACATTTCATGTGTGAATGTGAATGGTAACATTTTGTTTCCGGCAGAACAAGGGAAATGTTTGTCTAGGCATTTTAAACGGCTCTGAAGTAGGATTGGATGAAGTGAACCTAATTGGAGGTATGAATTTAGTTACATTGTTATTCTATCATTATGGATAATATTCTATGAAACACTGACACTAAAACTAACTAATAAATCGAGACATATGACGTACGTACACCTAACACGTTTTCAATTTGAAGTATATTTATTTATTTAAATGATTCATGAACTCTGCATTCTATTATGCAGACATATCCATGTTAGATAAAGTGATAGTTTTCGACAACGAGAAAGAATTGATTGGATGGGGAGCTGCAGATTGCAATGGTGTTCCAAAATTCAGAGATGTCAGTTTCTGATCATAAAACTACCTGATTCAAACATTTATAAGACAGTAGAAAAGATTAATATAGATTATAGAGCGGTGATGTTAAAGTGTAAAATATTAATGATTTGTGTATAATATATTACTATATTGTCTTTATGGTGTAGACTTAAGCTTATGATTTGTATAGTATTAGCTTCTGATAATTACAGAAATTGTTATATATTAGAGCCATTTATGAAGCGATGCTTTTGTAATTAGAGAATACACCAATACATTTGATTATAAAATGAATACTATATGACAAACATATTAAAAAAATTCTAGTACAATAAAGGAATGGAACAAGAATTTTCTACATGTTAACACTACCGTATACCCCTAATATGACTAATTGGATCTAGAATTGAGATCATAGTGCTTATTGTTTTAGTTACAAATAATGACCCCATTTCTTAAAGTTGAACCATAAAACAAATGAATATCATCCCAAATAGAACAATCCCTAGTAATCACCTACCCAAGAACACACATGCACCATTAGCATCTCCACTTGAAGTTGTAGTTAGTAGGTGTGAATGTGAATGTGATTTTTGTCTCCAACCAATTTAAAATACCATAGGACCCCTCCTTTTTAGGGTCATTTCCCTTTTTCAAAGCCCACGACCATGACCTATTTTCATCACTAGTCAAAATAAAATAAAAACTTAATTACTTGGGCAGGTACGTAAACACATCATGCCAACCCGAAAGTTGATTCATTTGATACTGAACCTGAGGGGCAAAAGGGTCATCTTCACCATCATCCATAAAATTCAACTGAAAATCAAACGCCGACACTGGATCAAATTCGTTCCACTTCGGCTCACTTTGAACCTCCTTATCGCACGTGACATCCGGCGAAACCACGTGCTCAGAACAGCTTGAATCCGTGTGAAACCGTGGCACCGAATCTGACGTGTCAGTGTATAACTGCTCGTTTATAATCCCGAAATCATCGTGACCGTTCGTTTTGATCTTAGGCTTCGTCTCATTCTCAAATTGAACATCCTCACAAAACATTGATGATTCTTTTGTATTTTCATCATCATTGTATTTCTCAATCTTCCCTTTCTTGTTGTATATTCGACACAACACCCAATCATCAAGCTGTAAATAATTTTCAATAACAAAATCATTTCATTTTCATTTTCATTCGCACCATAAAAATAAAATTTATTTGATATAATATATTACATACTCTTAAATTGCGGTTATTTTTTGCTGCGGATCTATCAACGTTTGCAAGTCGATATTCATGCATGATCCAATTAGTTTTAACACCTTTAGGAGCTTTCCCAGCGTAGAAAACAAGAGCTTTCTTAATCCCAAGCGGCTTCGGCTTCCCAATCGGCTTATCGGCTCCGGTCGCTTTCCAGTAACCGGTTCCGGCAGCCCGGTTCGGCCGTGAACCGTTTGGATATTTCCGGTCCCGTGGAGAGAAAAAATACCATTCTTTCTCACCGTAAAGAGCCATTTCTGTTTACAAAGCCAAAAAACACAAATTAGTAAATTTAAATAATCTTTTTATTGAAGAATAAATATAAGATTATACACAAAAACCGGTGTTGAAAACTAAATTACCGGGAAGATGCCATGGATCAAACTTATATAAATCAATTTCTTTGATAATAGGGACAGAGATTGGGAGAGAAGCACACTTTCTACATAAATAATGATTCACAAGCTCATCATCAGTGGGGTGAAATCTGAAGCCAGGAGGTAACTCTAATGCACCTTGCATTCGCGAATCGCTGTTTAATAATATCTGTTTTTTAATGGTGTTGTTGTTGATATCGTTGGTGGTTGGTGGTTGATATTTGATTTTGAAGTTCGAAGTTGTAAGAGAGAAAGAACTTGTGGTTTTATAGGATGAAGAAGAGTAAAAAAAGTTGATTAAAAAATACACGTGGGATTATCAAGTCACAAGGAGAGAAAGTCCTCGAACTTCGAACCTTGTTTTTTTTTATAAAGGTGAACGCAGACGGCACGTGGCAACATGTGAATGGAGGATGGGACACGTGCGAGGGACTTTTTTTTTGTGTCACTGCTTGCGTCACTGACTTAGCCCGGTTTTGGTAAAATGGTTGACTGTTGTTGTATGGCTATGTTTTTTTTTTGGAGTCGACATGTTGCTGTACCTTATTTATTTCTCCTAATGCTCTGCATCTCGTTGAGGTCTGTCCAAATGTTCCCTCCACCACATGTAACATATTTTGACCGTTTATTCTAATTTTAACAAAATTTGTGTTATTCTTTTTTTTTTTTTAAACAGCTAAAATATATTAATCAGCAAATAGCACCAGAAGTGCTAATACATTTACAAAACATAAGCCAAACACTTGGCCAAACAACGCCTGAACTACAGAAACAACTCCTAACTGATACCACCATAACAGCAGGAAAATATAAAAACCAGAGACTATCAACCTATGACAATTGATCAGCACCAAATAACCAATACTAAACATGGACAAAAACACTATGACTCCATTGAGATTACTCTATATTGGATATACTACAACATGTCACAATTCAAATCTGAACAGAAATTGACCGATCCCTCTCGATGCCCGAGAACGGAGCGAATTACCCCCTCTGAATATCGCAACTATTGCTAATAGACAAGACAAGATACTTTCAGCGTACGGTTTTATGCCACGCCTTTCTCCAATCCGATTTACTTTCTACATCGATATGGGACATTAAACCTTTATCACCAATAATTTGGATTTTACCGCCTCTACCACCGGTATCCAAGCTTTAGTTCTGTTCATGTTTCAACCAATCGGCAGTCCCAAGTATTTGAATGGTGTATTACCTATTTTGCACTGCAGAATTGATGCAGCCTCTTCAATCCACCTGTGAGTAATGTTGACCCCATTAAAACACTTTTATGATACTTTACCTTTAATCTCGACATCAATTCAAACACCAACAAGTTTGCTTTGATAATTCTAATAGAGGACTAACTTTTTCCCCCTATAATTAGCGTGTCATCCACATATTGTAAGTGAGTGAATCTATCTTCTCCTTTATCAAATTTATATTGAATGACTTCCCTTCATTCACCGCTCTTCTCATCGACTGGTTGCCGCTATCAAAAACAAAAATGATGACAATGGATCCCCTTGCTTTAATCTGCGATACATCGAAAATTCTTTTGTGGGACTTCCGTTTACTAAGACTGAAACTCGCAACGATCAAAGACATTCTGAAATCCATCTTCTCCATTTTTCATGAAATCTTATCTTTGACATCACAAAATCTAGAAAGTCTCGGTCGACCGAATCATAGGCCTTCTCAAAGTCCACTTTAAACAAAATGACTTATTTATTTTTCATTTGCGACTAAAATTCCATCCAAAATATGCCTACCTGCAAGGAAGGCTGACTGAGTTTCCAATATCACTTCTCCGATGACTTTTTTCAACCTGTTTGCAAGCACTTTTGCTATTGCTTTGTATATGCAACCCACCAAAGAAATGGGGCGATATTATGCTATTTTGTCGGGTTTTTCCTTTTCGGAATCAACAGTATAAACAAGCTATCCCCCCCCCCCCCCCCCCCCCTTACCATTTTTCCGTTTGCGTGAAACTCAGTCAACACCCGAAAGAAATCATCTTTTATTTCTTCCCAAAACTCCTTAATGAAATCGAAGAATATTTTGTCTGGGCTCGGGCTTTTACTATTGTCGCATTCCCACACTCCTGTTCTGATTTCTTATGTGGAAAACTCACGGACCATATCTTCACTAATTTCATTTGCTAATCTTTTGAAGTTCATAAAGGCAGGGATTTGTTTTAGAGTCCCTGCTGAAAATTGAGTCTGAAAGTAATTAACTACTGCTTCTTTAATCTCTTGCACTCCCTTCAACTTCCTGCCATTCTCCTCCAATGCTAGTATCTCATTCTCCCCCCTCCTTTTATAGATACATCCATTGAAATACTTTGTATTTGCATCTCCATCTTTTAACCACCTGATTCTTGATTTCTTCCACTGGACACTACAATTGAGTTTTGATAACTTATGCATTTTCTGCTAAGGCTCTTTTAGATCTTAACTTAGTATCCGTAAGGCTCGTAGTTTCGCTTTTTATTTTCAATGCATTCAATTCCTTCTTAGCTTTTGCAATTTTCTCTCCAATGTTTTGAGTATGATCTTTATGCCACTTTTTTAGGTTATCTTTGATCCTCTTAAATTTTTCTTTAAGCACATACATTCTGCACCACTCCACCTGAAGATCTCTCCAATTTTCCTTTACAAAACTATGATATCCTTCCATTTCTTTCCAATAATTCAGAATTTTAAACGGCTTTGGTCCCCAATCTTGAACCAGTTCACTTAACAATATCGGACAATGATCTGAAAGATCTTTATCCAAACACCATTGGGTACTCAACAGCCAAGACCTATACCAAGCTTTTGATAAGAGAAATCTATCCAATCTACTCATAGATGTCCCTCCTGGCTTGGATCAGGTATATTTTCTTCCGAGTAATGGTAGGCCTATTAGATCTGACTCTGTAATAAACTCGTCGAACACTCTAATTTCTTCTCTCCTTATGTTTTGACTTCTTCCATTTCTTTTTGCTTCATCCATGACTTCATTGAAGTCACCCATCATACACCACCTTTCTTCGTTTTTAACCTCCATGAGACGATGTAATTTTGACCATAGAACTAATTTTATGCTACCTTCACACGGAGCATATATATTAACAATGTTGACTTTCTTCTTTTCTTCTCCCCAATCCCTCTCCAAATACCCCTTCAAACACATAGCTCAATTTAACATCTCAGTTTTTTGAATCTTCAGTTTATTGTTGTTCCAAATTGCCAACAACCCCCCAATCTTCCTTCGGCTGCTTTAAAGGTGAACTCGAACTCATGAGAGCCCTAAATAGTGGAGCATATATTAATATCAATATGTTCCTGTTGCACTCCAAAATTTTCCCTCTCACTTATCAAGAATTTGCTCACAAAATTTCCTTGGGCTCAAGACTGCACTAGGGTTTGATCAATTCAAGACACCTCCTTAGGCACTGATGACCAAAATTAGGGTTTTAGTTTGCACAAGTATTTTTGAATTATCAAAGCTTCATATGACTTTCATGGTCCATTATGGACTCCCAAGATCACTCATGTCAAGTTTCAAGTCTTGAATCACACTTTTGATCAGTCAATTAAACAGTTGACCTAAAAAACAGTTGTATTGGGGAAAAAGTCAACCATGACCAATTTATAGTCAAACTTCATAATTTTTGATCCACATCAACATTTTAAACCCATATGTATCATTTGACCAAGTTTGGACCATAATTCCTCAAGAAATTTGATCAAATCTCCAGATGGGCAAAATGGTTAAAATTAGGGTTTTGGCTGGGAAAGGGGAATTTTTGATTTTTGACCTAGCAAATGATCAATTGGTTTAAGGCATGATATCAAGAGTCCAATTGCATCATTTTGAACTAATTATATGATTCAAAACATTGCAAGACCATTGGATTGACAGATGAATTTTGCAGTCAACTGATCAAAAGTCAACTCTATACTGAAAAGTCAAACTTTGACTTTTTGGTCAAATTCAAGTACCAAAGATCATAATCCATCAAAACATGTCAAAATATGAAACTTATTCATCAATAAAGCAAGAAATCAATATTTCATTTTGAAAAGTCAAAATTTCTAAACTTAGAAATTTTTCTAACTGTTGAAAATTTCTTATTTTTTCATAACTTTGAGCAATTTTTTCATTATGATGCAAGATGATTCAAAGGAAACTTCCAACATGAAAGTTGTAGATATCCATGACATATAAAACTTTTCTTCACACAACTTCTCCTATTAGTGCGTGGATCTCCAATTATAATTTTGTGAATACATGCTCATGAACTAAAAAAGACTTAGTGAAATTTTGCCCTAGTTAGGCAGATTTTTGATCTAATTTCATGGGACTTTTTCATATAGTTCCAAGGGGAATATTCAAAAGAAATTTAAATATGAGTTTTAGAGCACATTGAAAGCTTTCCAAAATGTCCAAGAACTCCTTGAGATCATTCTTGAGCAGAGAGAATCAAAGAGGTGAAGTTGGTGTTTTGTCACTTGGATTACAAGCCATTTCATGATAAACATTGAATCCAATCTTCAAGCATGTTGTACAAATATCACTTCGCAGGCTTCTAACTTGACTTTCACTTCATAATTAAATGTTTTCACAGCTGTTGGAAGCTTTAATCCAAGCATTCAATGCATTGTACAAGTATAATTCCATTTTGGGAAGAAAGGCAACATTGCCATTTTAGAAAAGCAAGCTTTATGCAAAGTCAGCTTGCATTGAGCCTTGCATTTGTTATTTATGCACAAACACACTCTACACAATCAGAAAAAGTGTGTTTAAAGGTTTCAGCCACCCTACAAGCCTTGTACTTCACATTGAAACCATGCTTGCTTACTTTGCTTCAAAAACAAGTAACCAAGCCAAAACTTGAGAGTTTCAAATTCTGAGTTGTGACAAGCCTCAAAACCTCTTGCTTATAAGTATACACATTATTTGAAAGTTGACACACGAATGCTAGTGCCCTGAAACTACCTCAAACACTCAAAAACCAAAAACCTGTCCAAGAACACCATTAACACACAGTTCTGAACCAAAACTCATGATCTTCATTTCCACTCATGCGTTTTGAAAATTAATCACTCAGACACTTTCTATACATCATACCAAAGCAATCCATACCCTTGT